CATTATGTTAGGTTATCTTTAAAATTGGTTGGGTTATTTTTAATTTAATACTTAAAACATGTTAAAACATATGTATTGTGTTTATACTCCAATAAAAAAAAATCTATTTGAAAACAATGTGTATTTTATTTATTAAAATAAGGTCCTAAATAAAAATAAATATTTAACTCAACTGTTGGGTTATTTTAACCCAACTGGTATTTAACCCAATGCATTGGGTCTACTCTGTCTGTCCTTTAGGCTATATAGTAGAATTGACAATAAACTTGAACTTGGCACCCAGCCGCCGTCGACGAGTAGACGCGCTGGCTGGAGTATAAATATTAAAGGGTGTAGTTAGGTTTAGGGAAAAATCTACCACACAGGTTCTTTCTTTCTTGAGCGTTTCAGTTGTGCTGGTCTAAAGGAAACGCAGAGCTGTGAAAATAACAATCCCTTCCTTCCCTGTGACGTCTGAGACATCCTTACAAACAATTGCTTTATTTATTCAAAAGTTTTCAATAGGTCTGTAGCCTTATTTTCCAGATATTAAGAAATGCATGAATGTTTTCGTTAGGTCAAGTATTCTGGAAATGACTCGTTATCCTTAGGAAACTCTTTTAAGTCTCTCAATAAGGACTTCCAGATGAGGGGGGATGTGAATGAGTCATTGCTAATTGTATCCCATTCAGAAATACAGTCCGGCTCATGGACTGAAGCTGTAAACGGAAGAACACTTGAGATGCCTGTACTGAGATAAAGACTTCTGCAAACATTCAAATATAGCGGGGCTAAAAAAGTTTCCATAAGTGTTTTTTCTCTTTTATGGCTCTTATAGTGTGATATAGTTAAAAAATATGGATCTCACACTAGAGGAGGAAAAAATCTTTTTTTTTATTCTTATAGTTTTATTCAGAGGCCTAAACTGAGCAAAAAAAAATACAAGTTTGTACAGACGCTGATATATATATATATGGCCAGAAAGTAGGATGAAATTCTGATAGCTTGTAATGAATGAGTTATTTAACAGTATAAAGCACTTAAAATGCATATAAATATCAGTCTTCACTCTATATACCAAAAATATGTCTTAGTAAGATGATATTTAAATGCTTAGTTTTATGATCAAAGCTCAGTTGTTATTATTGTGGGGGCAAATCATATAATGCAATGAATACAATGATGATTGAGAAATGAACAAATAAACATTCATCAAAAGTCTGATGATATTTGATACTCACACATTAACATGATTTTTCTAAAATATGATGTATGGATAATCAAATAAATGTAAGTTGCTTCAGTCCAGTAAATGTCCATCTAGAGAAATATTACGAACAACATCAAAGTTATTCTTATATTTACTTTATAAAAATCATTAAGCACTGCATAAAATATGTATTTTGCATTGCCAAGACATTATTATACTGTTAAAAATCGTATCTAACTTGACTATTCTTGGAGTAAACATCACGCACATCCACTATATGCATTGTTGTTTAAAGTACCAGTCAAGTATAGGATGTGTGATATATAAATGTTTGTATTATATTTACATAATGCATATGGAATTTTTAGACTGATCATAGCTTTAAAAGGCAAGGGAAATAAAGGTATTTAGGTTATTCTGCCTTTGAAATGTCTATTGTTGCACACAGAGCAATGATGCATTGCCTATAGCAATATCTTATAGTGACATCAATCTTCTCCATGATCAAAAACGATGTGTATCCCTATCCCTAAATCTACAGACAAAGCATCATCAGCTTTGAATCACAAATAATAAATATGGAAATATTATTTTAATATATATATATCATGTTTTCAGTCAGCAGTGGTGATAGTCTTTGAAGTTTTACAGTTTCTGTAAAAGTGTGATCTCACATGTCTGTAGTTTGCGTGCTCGCAAACACATCAGCAGTAAATATGTGAGAAAATGAAAGCAGAATTTTATTTTTTGAGTGAATATTATATTTAAATGTTTAGATTCCATCAGCCAATTATAAAATCTAATGCAAATAAAAAATGTGTTGAATGTAAAAAGGTGTGCTAGATGACATAGCTGAGCTAACAATCTGTCATCATCAACAATAATAAACAAAGCCTGAAAATATTATAACTAAAATGCAGGTCTACAATCACACAAAAAAGTTCAAGTTGGCAGTTCAGTTAGGCAACAGGCTTTGATGCAAATTGTGAAATATGTTGTTCATGTCTTGGCTTGATATAATGACACCCTAGGCCTAGGAGAACTAGACAATAAAGCAAAGGAGACTGTATTCTGCAGTCAAATAATATTATTTTGATTTGTATCTGATGATGCTATTGTACTTTGATATATGGGTCCAGAAGACTAAAACCATATTGAAAATCTGGGATTATAATCAATATAAACAAATACTAACACTTTCTTTTCTCTTCTATATCTATTTATATAGATGTTTTAAAAATATTTATATATATATATAAAAAAAATTAATACTGCGTTAGACTTAACTGGGAAGGGTATAGGGGGCACTTAAATATTTTTGTCCAATTGTTAGTTTAAATGCTTTTATTGCTCTCCTTATTTGTAAATCGCTTGGATTAAAGCGTCTGCTAAATGATTAAATTTAATATTTTTGTCCAATTGTTAGTTTAACTGCTTTTATTGCTCTCCTTATTTGTAAGTCGCTTGGATAAAAGCGTCTGCTAAATGATTAAATATGAATGTTTTAACATTAAAACAAAAGGTTATGCTGAAAGATAAGAAATATACGATTATTTAGTAACACAACCTTTCTTTGATCTGGTTCGAACTGGTTATCTTGCTGTACTACTGATGTGAGTCAAGTCAGTACTTCCGGTTGTGACGTCAGCGCCCCACATATAAATAGCGCTCGGGTTCAGCGTTGAGACAAAGCGCTTCCGGCGACGACTTCATGTAATTCTTCACTGACAGGGTGAAAAACCCAGACTTTCTGCTGAGGGTAACCCCCTTGGAACCGAATGAAGAAACAAATCTTACTACATTTCACATACAGAGGACTAGTAAGAAAAGGGAAAAAGAGTAAAAGAAGAAAATGGACAAGTTTATATTACGAAAGGCCGAGCCCAAGGACGTGTCTGACATACTGCGACTCATAAAGGTAAAAACAAACCTACGGCGCATGCGTATAACGTTTAACAGAATAATTATTTTAAAGTTTAAATTTAGAACATTTTTACGTTCTGGTCGTTTGTGGAATAATATACGCCGTTTATTTCATTTCAGGAACTTGCGAAATTTGAGGAAATGGAGGAACAGGTCGTCCTGACCGAGAAAGGTACAGAATTCGGTCTCCGTCGTTTCAGTGTATGATATTTATGAATGTATTTGAATGTATGATGGTTATTTAGGCCTGTTTGTTTTCCAGAGCTGCTCGAGGACGGTTTCGGAGATCATCCGTTTTATCACTGCGTCGTCGCTGAAGTACCGAAGGATAAACAGTCTCTTGAAGGCAAGTTAAAAACATCAGGTTTTTTCCCCCCAAGATTAATTCTGTTTTTTTTGTTTGTTTGTTTGTTTTTTACTTTTATCGTTAATCAATATTGTCACTGCTAATGTTACTATTACGATGGAATTGTTACAGTTTATCTTTCTGCGTCATGCATTGGAAGTGACGTCAGACCCGCTAAATCAGCTCATGTTACTTTTTGTTCTCTTTAACTCTGTGGTGTACTAACGATCCTCACGTTTTTTCACTTCAGGTTATACAGTGGTTGGCTTTGCTATGTACTACTTTACCTATGACCCCTGGATTGGGAAGCTGCTTTATCTGGAAGACTTCTATGTGATGAAGGAATTCAGAGGTAGCTGTAAACAAAGAATTACTTTGAAATGGTCATGTATAATATATCATATCTATTATTGATCTATTTCCCTACAATTCAGGTTATGGGATGGGCTCTGAGATCCTGAAGATGCTAAGTGAGGTATGCATAATGCATTAGAGAAACTTGTCTTGTTATGGCTCATTTTTAAAGTCATCTAAACGCCTTATTCAAATGTTCTTGTCTGTAGACGGCAGTGAAGACTCGATGCAGCGGGATGCACTTCATCGTGGCCGAGTGGAACACGTCATCCATCGAGTTTTACAAGCGGCGCGGAGCATCGGATCTCTCCCACGAGGAGGGATGGCGTCTGTACGAGATCGACAAGTGCAACCTACTCAAGATGTCATCCAAGTAGACGCCAGTGCAGAAGAAACAGTTTGATAAATGAGGATTTTAATAGAGTAGACCAGTGTTTCCCAACCCTGATCCTGGAGGCACACCAGCACCACAAGTCCACACACTATACAACTCTTCCTAATCTGAGCTAAAGATTAAAAGTAGAAGGGAGACATCCAAAATGTGCACTGTTGGTGTGCCTCCAGGAACCGAGTTTGGAAACGCTGGGGTAGACGACAATCGTTGATACACCTGCAATGTATCGTTTACAATAAAGCTTTTACTTTAAGAAAGAGACTGTGTGATTTGATCACTGATTTTGGTCTTGGTTAAGGTGTTGTCAAAAAGAAACACTTATGCAACTCTTATGTTTTGTGTTAAAAAATTTCAAAATAGAAAATCAATTTTGATTTCATCTTGACATGTTGAAAAGTAACTTTCTTCTAACAAACAGGTTAAAAAGTAGGTGTGTTGGACATGAAGACCGACGACAAAGAACCGCAAGAGCGATTCGAGGGCAGGCGGCTTCAAATGCTTTGCAAATCTGTCTCATGCTACGTTGATGTCATTAGAAAACAAGTCGAACATCTAATGACATCCTTTAGGACATATTTTAATCATATGGTGCTGTTTGGAAGCAGATGTTAAAATCAAGACGAAACCAGTTTAGAGGTTGCTTCCATTTGCAGTTTCGTTTTTATGTTTGTGTAGAAAGGGGAAGTTCAGTGTGTTCCGACTCAAAAACAGTGCTGACATTAACATGCTAACCCCAAACATAATGTTTCCTCTTGAACTATAGATGTATATACTTGTCATAAATCACTTCACACTCTGTGTATATATAATTTATTTAGGTACACCAGTGCATTTAACACAATCCCAGTAGTTAAAAACGTTCCAGACAGACCACTAACGCCTCTCTGATGATCGACAGATTGAAAGAGGAAGTGGCTAGTGCAAAAGTATGTAATAAAAGTGAGCGAACGATGGAGATCTCATCTCTGCTGTACCACAACAAACCTGAGAGTTGATTATGTACCTATAAACAAACACACAGCAAGGGAAAGTCATGAAGATTTAGTAGTGAAAAAACGAAACACACTTAAAGATGCCTGAATGAATTAGACAGCAAAATATTAGCATTTATTTTCAATAAAACCGTTAAAGGGATATTTCACCCAAAAATGAAAATGTTGTCATTTACTCAGCTTCAAGTTGCTTCAAATCTATGAGTTTCATTCTTCTGTTGAACACAAAATAAAACATTTGGAAGAATGTTGGTAATCAAACAGTTGACAGTAGCAATCTGTACTTCAATAGTATTATTTTTCCTACTATTGAGTACCAATCTTCTCTAAAACATCTTTTGTAAAGAACAACTTGAGGGTGAGTAAATGATGACAACGTTTTCATTTTTGGGTGAACTATCCCTTTAAAGCAAAACATTTAAAGAGGGCAAAGAAGGTATTGTGTTTGTATGTGATTGGATGATGTTGTTAATGTGATTCTCTACACCAGTGGTTCCCAAACCTGTCCTGGCGACCCACCAACACTGCACGCTTTCGTTGTCTCCCTAATCAAACACACCTGATTCAACTCATCAGCTCATTATCACATGGGTTAATGAGCTAATGAGTTGAATCAGGTGTGTTTGATTAGGGAGACAAGTGTTGGTGGGTCGCCAGGACAGGTTTGGGAACCACTGCTCTACACCACTGATTTCAAACATTCACTAAAAATCACTGAAGTGCAAAAATGGTCAGAAAAGTGGATCTTAGTGGTGGACAGTCACTCAACAAGGTAATCTAGCAATTTTACTACCATTTAACATGTTTTATGTGTCAAGAATTCTCAACGCAATATGGAAAAGGGCTTGATGTGACTTCATAAATGTTGTTTATTTATTTTGTGCAGCTGTGTTGTGTTTCCACGCTGTGTTTAATGTTTTGTACCTAAGCTTTGGTCTCCCCGCTGGAAGTCTTTTCCGCTTGATCCTATTAAAAGACAAAGCAAAGTGAAAGCTCAGTGTCACAATATCTGCAGCTCACACGGTACAACGTGGCTCTAGAAATGCCAAGTCACTTCGATTCCCAGAGAGTGCGTGAACTAATTAAAACACGTAAAAAGGAGTAGACAAACTCGCCTTCTTTGAGGCTGGTGTGTTTCTGATCAGCTTCTCCACAGAAACATAAGCCTGAAGCGCCAGGTCGTATATGGAGTCTCCTGTGTTCTGGGAAGATTAGAAACAATCACTTCAGTGTAAAGAGTCATTCACACATACTGGATTTTTTTGCACGTCACTTTCAGTAGATTTATTGTGTGTGTTTCAACTGCTGAATGCCCTGATGTTATTGGAGGATTACAGAACTGGTCATAGCTTTTAGGAAACTGGTCTTAATGTGATGCATTGCCGGTAAAAATAAGGCAGTAGTCAATTAGTCAAAAAAGTTCATCAAAGTTGTACTAAGACAAGAACCGGGTATTGTTCAAAATGTATAACTTTGATTAAAAAGTTAAATGTAGACTACTGTATTTTATTTTAATTTCACAACAAATGTGCATCAAATTTGATGCATTTCAGCATGATATAATAAACAGGACTTTCAATGTATGAATTAAACTCACTCAGAATGCCAATAATACATGACACGGTTTGTTTATATATATATAACGCAAAGACACCGTTACTCAAAGTAACAGTGCAAGTCAACAAATAATTCAGTGTATTTCATACACTTTTAAAAGTGATTTTTGTACGACATTTGTCTTGTTTTCCAGAACATGTATATCTAAACCTTAAAATCAATAAGCGTTTACTAGAGAATCAAAATGACATTTTTGTCTTGTTTTCTGGAAAATTTAACAAAATATAGTTTTTGCTTAAAACGGAGGGGAAAAAACTACCAATGAGGTCAGAAAAATAATCCCCCCCCCCCCCCCCTCCTTTTAATTAAGTGTATTTTTTCTTAAAGCATAAACTCACTTAATTGATACATTTTTTCAGAAAACTAAAATATCTGATGTAATATATGCTTCTCAAGTAAATTTATCTTGACTTAAGAATGTTTCGATATTTGTACTGGAAAACAAGTCAAAATTGCTAAGTAAGATTTTCGCTGTTGTTGCAGAGAATGATATATCTCCAAGTTACTCGCAAAAATGGTGCTAGTCAGAACACTAGGCCATGTTTGAATGGCCATCAATGAAGAAAGTGCAATGCATTTTGGGGCCAGATGGTGTAGTAGTGTAGCAAACTGGTCTATGCAATAACCCAGCAGCCTAACCGTGAGCGCACGAGCTGACCTGAGGGGCATCGGGGTGAAATCTGCCTATTTTGGGCTGTTTAATGTTTTTAACCAGTGACCCCGCTGGCTGTTCAGGACGTATCTATCAGCATATCTGACAGGACGAGGACACGCAGCGCCGAAACCGCCCTTTAGAGAGCTTCTAATATGAAACCGCTCGCTCGTGCCATGATGTGTGTTGACAGGGATTCAGCAGGACGTGTGTGACGGCGAGAGATAGCGAGAGAGGTTCACACCACTTTCCACTGCAAAGACCATGTTAGTTACTATCAAAACAGACAAGCGGCTGATAATAAACGCAGTGTTGATGCACATCCCAGCGTGAGGTTCAGCCTGTGTCCTTGGGAGATGTTAGGAATGTGTTCCAGCTGCTGTTTTGGTGGAAAGTTACGGATCGTAACCTCGCCTCACCCTTTTCCTCCTCCTCCCGATTTGAGGTCCTTTTAAAAACACCGTCCCACATGATAACATCTCACGACCCTACAGCCAATAAAAATAGACGGCACACAGGAACTGGAGACACGCCTACCTTCGCGATGGTCACTGCCTCTTGTGGATAATACATGGAAGCTCCCACAGCCATTAGACCAGTAGGGTAGACCAGTCTCTTCAGTCTCGAGCCTTCAAGTGCAAAATAAAGTGCAAGTTTGAGGTCAGTCAGATTTCATTCACTTATTTTTGAAAGCAATTAATAGGATACATTAAATGTGTAGGATAAGAAAACAAAGTTCTATTTATCAAATAATTCTGAAAGCAAAATGCATCAAATATGAAGCAGCTCAACATTTATAATAATCAGAAATGTTTCTTAAGCAGCAAATCATCATATTAGAGTGATTTCTGAAGGATCATGTGACACTGAAGACTGGAGTAATGATGCTGAAAATCAGCTTTGATCACAGGAATACATTATATTTTTAAATGCACTAAATAACAAACAGGTGTGGGGAGTTGTAATAATATTTCACAATTTCTAATGTTTATTTTTTATCAAATAAACGCAGAAGAGACTTCTTTCAAAAACATTATAAATCTTCCCGACCCCACACTTAGGAAAGGTTGTGTATTTGAAATATCAGTGGATGCAAGATCACAAATAGATGTTTTAGGTCAGTTCAGATTTTGGTCTCTTTAATGAAAAGCAGAAATACATCAACTTTCACTACCTCTTCCAAGGAAAAGGCCCAGGATCCCGGCAAAGCCGATGATTCCGGCTCTGGGGTAAAACTCAGGCGGAGGGTTCTTCAAGTAGGCATAACTGTCTGGATTACAGGGCAAAAGATTCACTTAACTGATGTAAGTTAATTGAAAAAGTAAAAAAAAAAAAGTTCATGTAGGAAAGTGTTTGCTTACTCTGCCCAAACTGTACAGTGCCGTCAACCTTGGGTTTCACCGTCCCATAGACGCCCTGAGATTCAACGCAAAAACAGAATGCTACTCTTGTTACACAATCCAGAAATGAGGACTTTTACTTTATTAGAATCACCGTGAAATGAAATGCCACACCGTGAGAAAAGACCTAGTCTGACTGTAGATCATGAGAAAAGCACGAGCACTTTCATTGCAACCAAAGCAGCAAGTAAGATGAATGGTTGATAACACTTCATTTAAACCCTTTATATACAGTATAATGCATTATACAATTATTTTTAATGCATTAATTATGCCTTGTAAAGCACCTTATAATGCCTTGCAATGCACCTTATAATGCATTATAATGCACCTTATAATGCCTTGTAAAGCACCTTATAATGCCTTGCAATGCACGTTATAATGCATCTTGTAATGCCTTGTAAAGCACCTTATAATGCCTTACAATGCACCTTATAATGCCTTACAATGCACCTTATAATGCACCTTATAATGCCTTGTAATGCACCTTATAATGCCTTGTAAAGCACCTTATAATGCCTTGCAATGCACGTTATAATGCATCTTGTAATGCCTTGTAAAGCACCTTATAATGCCTTGCAATGCACCTTATAATGCATTATAATGCACCTTGTAATGCCTTGTAAAGCACCTTATAATGCATTGCAATGCACCTTATAATGCATTATAATGCGCCTTGTAATGCCTTGTAATCCCTTCTAAAGCACCTTATAATGCCTTGCAATGCACCTTATAATGCATTATAAAGCACCTTATAATGCCTTGCAATGCACCTTATAATGCATTATAATGTGCATTACAAGGCATAATGAATGCATTAATGCACCAAACCGTCTCATGAATAATTGTAACCAGTTATAATGCATTATATAATACTTATCTATTCATTGCAACACCTTTAGAAAGTATTAATATGTACATGACAAACAACCAATTTCAGGTGTGACCAGGAATCTGCAAATATTCTAATGCACTGCAATTATCGATGAAAAGAAATAATGCATTATAACGTACAGTATGAAAATCTTTATAATGCATTATACATAAAGGCTTTAAAATATGACATAATGACAGTCCAAAAGGTTTATTACTACTTATTAGTACTTTATGTCTAGGTTATATTTTGATTTATGCTAAATGCACCTCCTGGACAGATCTTTATCAGAAGCCATAAACCCATAATGCATGACCGAGAGTCTATATCTTATCAGATAGTCTGTGCTCTAAGAGATAAGAGAATATAGATGTATGAATAAGCACACTTGAGCTAACTAAGGACAACTATTAAATAAATACTAATTAATAATTAAACAAAATGGGAAAAAAAAAATGACACAAGGCTTTGGAGATTTCCTTAGAATTCATATGTGCGCAAATGTTATTGTTCACTAAAACTATTAAAAAAATTATTTTAGCTAAATGAAATAAAGCTGAAAAAATAAAATACCGAATTTATAGTTTAAAATTAGAATAAGAAATTAGAAATGTTGCTTTGGCAACTACCTGAAACATGTTTAAGTTGATATACTACAATTACTAAAACTAAAAAGATAAAATGAATAAAGCTAAATATTAATAATTAAAGACAAAAGCACTAAATTACACAAATGTAAATGAAAACTAAAAAAAATATTAGGTTGAATATTAATGAATTAAAAAAATTGATGAATACTATAATACTGTCATACTAAAATAACACTGAATTGTGTGCTTGTTTATTAAATATTGTCGAATTGCATGGTTTTAAGCAAATAATATGAATGTAGCACCTTCAGACATATTAGCATGTTTCAACTTGTAATGTGTGATTTCACCAAATGGGATTGCGAAAACAATGACTGTTTTCAAACAGGTCCTGCTGTACACAATTGGTCAGACAAAGAGAGAGTCCCACACAAACTCACACATTGGGTACGGCAGGGGTCAACATGCTGACATATTCAATCAAATTCAGCAGAATTTCACTTATTTTCAAGGCGTTCTGCTTTCAGATGCGGGTCAGTGTGTCTTCCTCAAGTGTTTTAAGCCAAGTCATATATTACAATGATTTCTGAAGGATCATGTGACACTGAAGACTGGAGTAATGATGCTGAAAATTCAGCTTTGATCACAGGAATAAACTACAGTTTAATTAAAGTGGAAAATGGTTATTTTAAATCATACTATTTTACATATTACGGTTTCTTTTTACTGTATATTTAATTAAATGCAGCTTTGGTGAGCATAATATACTTCTTTCAAAAGCATTTTAAAAAGACTTTTGAATGGTAGTTTGTCATTATCTAGCAAAATTATGTTTCGATTTTAAACTTGGCTATTTGCAGGTTACTGGAAAAACTGTGTAGAATAGAGGGCAGAGCGACAGGGCAAGACTGGCAATGAGTCAAACGCTTTATCAGCTGCTGTAAAGTGCAGTGTCTGCAGTTCTCTGACTGATGACATGCTAGATTTCATCATCATGATGGATTTTCCACTTTGTGATGTTAGTGGACACTCTTTATTCAAACACTGTACAGCAAAAAAGCTGTAAAAGCAGAGGATGTCCTTTCTGAATGTCCTGCACAGGTGCTAGCAGTGTTTCCCGTCAGAGGCCTGTTGCATGAAGCTAGCTGAACAAACTCTGAGTTTCAGAGTAGGTTTAGAGTCGCCAAACTTCGAACAAATCTAAACCGGTTTAGATCAGGTTCAGCGGGCTCTGCATCAACTCAGTCCATGCGTCCCAATGAACGCACTATCCACCCTCAACAGTCTGTGACATTAGAATATGTGTGTCCCAGAGTATAGAGAGCCTAAGCCCCTCCCCTCCGCTTCCGGCTCATGGGACCTTATTTCGGAAAGAACATGTATGGTAGTCAATGGCGAGAGACAACTTATCTTTTTATTCCGTCTGAACTGTGCCCTGAATTACACATATGATGTTTGTCAATTTAAAAGATAATTCTGAAAGTCAAGAAAGTCGCAGTTTGTCATAAAACAGAAGAGTGACATTTAGTTTTATGTGAAAATCCCTCAATGAACTACATCTCCCGGGAAGCGAAACAACGAGCGAGATCCGCTGCTCGTGTGTGTGCAGTCTGGTACAAAACACTCAGGCATGACGGCGTAACGTTACGATTATAACGTAAGACTATAGAAACAATGACAGACGTTAGCTTCAATAAAGTTAGCGTCAGTAAAGTTAGCGTCAGTAAAGTTAGCTTCAGTAAAGTTAGCTTGAGTAAAGTTAGCTTGAGTAAAGTTAGCTTGAGTAAAGTTAGCTTGAGTAAAGTTAGCTTGAGTAAAGTTAGCTTGAGTAAAGTTAGCTTGAGTAAAGTTAGCTTGAGTAAAGTTAGCTTGAGTAAAGTTAGCTTGAGTAAAGTTAGCTTGAGTAAAGTTAGCTTGAGTAAAGTTAGCTTGAGTAAAGTTAGCTTGAGTAAAGTTAGCTTGAGTAAAGTTAGCTTGAGTAAAGTTAGCTTGAGTAAAGTTAGCTTGAGTAAAGTTAGCTTGAGTAAAGTTAGCTTGAGTAAAGTTAGCTTGAGTAAAGTTAGCTTGAGTAAAGTTAGCTTGAGTAAAGTTAGCTTGAGTAAAGTTAGCTTGAGTAAAGTTAGCTTGAGTAAAGTTAGCTTGAGTAAAGTTAGCTTGAGTAAAGTTAGCTTGAGTAAAGTTAGCTTGAGTAAAGTTAGCTTGAGTAAAGTTAGCTTGAGTAAAGTTAGCTTGAGTAAAGTTAGCTTGAGTAAAGTTAGCTTGAGTAAAGTTAGCTTGAGTAAAGTTAGCTTGAGTAAAGTTAGCTTGAGTAAAGTTAGCTTGAGTAAAGTTAGCTTGAGTAAAGTTAGCTTGAGTAAAGTTAGCTTGAGTAAAGTTAGCTTGAGTAAAGTTAGCTTGAGTAAAGTTAGCTTGAGTAAAGTTAGCTTGAGTAAAGTTAGCTTGAGTAAAGTTAGCTTGAGTAAAGTTAGCTTGAGTAAAGTTAGCTTGAGTAAAGTTAGCTTGAGTAAAGTTAGCTTGAGTAAAGTTAGCTTGAGTAAAGTTAGCTTGAGTAAAGTTAGCTTGAGTAAAGTTAGCTTGAGTAAAGTTAGCTTGAGTAAAGTTAGCTTGAGTAAAGTTAGCTTGAGTAAAGTTAGCTTGAGTAAAGTTAGCTTGAGTAAAGTTAGCTTGAGTAAAGTTAGCTTGAGTAAAGTTAGCTTGAGTAAAGTTAGCTTGAGTAAAGTTAGCTTGAGTAAAGTTAGCTTGAGTAAAGTTAGCTTGAGTAAAGTTAGCTTGAGTAAAGTTAGCTTGAGTAAAGTTAGCTTGAGTAAAGTTAGCTTGAGTAAAGTTAGCTTGAGTAAAGTTAGCTTGAGTAAAGTTAGCTTGAGTAAAGTTAGCTTGAGTAAAGTTAGCTTGAGTAAAGTTAGCTTGAGTAAAGTTAGCTTGAGTAAAGTTAGCTTGAGTAAAGTTAGCTTGAGTAAAGTTAGCTTGAGTAAAGTTAGCTTGAGTAAAGTTAGCTTGAGTAAAGTTAGCTTGAGTAAAGTTAGCTTGAGTAAAGTTAGCTTGAGTAAAGTTAGCTTGAGTAAAGTTAGCTTGAGTAAAGTTAGCTTGAGTAAAGTTAGCTTGAGTAAAGTTAGCTTGAGTAAAGTTAGCTTGAGTAAAGTTAGCTTGAGTAAAGTTAGCTTGAGTAAAGTTAGCTTGAGTAAAGTTAGCTTGAGTAAAGTTAGCTTGAGTAAAGTTAGCTTGAGTAAAGTTAGCTTGAGTAAAGTTAGCTTGAGTAAAGTTAGCTTGAGTAAAGTTAGCTTGAGTAAAGTTAGCTTGAGTAAAGTTAGCTTGAGTAAAGTTAGCTTGAGTAAAGTTAGCTTGAGTAAAGTTAGCTTGAGTAAAGTTAGCTTGAGTAAAGTTAGCTTGAGTAAAGTTAGCTTGAGTAAAGTTAGCTTGAGTAAAGTTAGCTTGAGTAAAGTTAGCTTGAGTAAAGTTAGCTTCAGTAAAGTTAGCTTCATTCATTGAGAGAAAATGTGCGCCTTTGGGGTTTGTAGTCTTTGTAATTACGTATTTTCACAGTCTTATACCTCA